ACAAATCTTTAAAAAATATAAAATGCTTCATCTATCTAAAGTAAGATGATCAAAAGGCCCATTTCTCAAAAACGTCACCTGTTACGGTTTTTCCTTTTTAGTGCAGCAGAGTTCATTGTTGCTTGCGCACAGCTGCCAACGCAGCGACGCACAACGGCCTCCTCCAATACTGCACTTGGAAAAGCACTCGACGCAAAGCAATCGTCGACCGCGGTGCATCGTAACGTTACATCGCAACTTGGGGAGGAAACAAATATCTTGCCAACGCTAACCGTGGCCCATAAACAAAATAATAATTAATTTTAAAAATATATACAAAAATATATTACATAACATTAAAAAAAAAATAAAAGCGAGAAGCCTCGCGCGAATCACCCGAACGGCAAACGCCGGCACTCGGCCATAGAACGTGCGTGCTTCTCTCGGGGGGGGGGGGGGCACTAACGATGAGGCGCCATCAAAAAACGCACGAACCTCCAGCACGACAAACGTGGGATCGCGAAAGCGAAGGGCGCCGCGGCGGCGGAGGTTTACAATCGTGGACTGGAATGGGGTCAGCGTCGCTGTCGTCAACACCACCACAGCGTTGGCACACCGCGGTGATTGGAGCCCACGGCCGTTACGCGCCCGGCTAGGGACCGAGTGAGCTCTGGACTCCTGGGATGAGACACCGAAACTGGCCCAGAGTTTTGCTCGTGTTTGAAGTAATGCTGCTGAAGTAATGCACTCTAAGGAGGCCGTGTGGCTGATGGGATGTGTAAAGGTTTGCACTCTTTAAAGCAAAAGGGGCAGATGTGGGGAGGAGGCGGCGTATTACCCTCTCGCATTTCCTTTCAAGTGCCGTTGTCCCTCCGGGGTTCTCCGGTTTTCCCGTCCACATTTAGAATCAATGTGCATTTAAGAGTATTTGGCGGCTATAAATGTCCAAGTGACGATAAGCAACTTCGTTGAGCTATCATTTGGGGGCAGGTCGCTTCTAAAGAGAGCTGCGTAGCTCAGTGGCTCTCACCAGGTAAAATGAAAAAAGTTTAAGTTTAGAAGTGCGCTCAGAGGGAAGGCGCGCAGGCCCACTGCCTCCAACCATTCAAAAGACACAGCCGCTCCCACCTCGCTCACACGCCACGTTCCAAGTAGGTTGATTGAGGCGGAGGGAATGGTGGTGCAGTGGTTAGCGCGCTGTGGATTCGCGGCCACCACCGACACCAGTGGCAGAGTGATATCAACCGGTCCTGCCCCCCCCCCTCGCATTGACCAGCGTGGTGAAGTATGGTCAAACAGCAGCCAAGATTGACACACGAGTGCAGCCCTTCACCCAGCAGTGGTTTGACAAAAGAGCTGTGAAATCTTACATTCTTATCATTATTATTAGCACATTTATAGGACACCAACATGAGGCAGTTGTAGAGAACGTGTCTTGAATCACAATGTTGCACGCGCCCGGACTCGATCAGCTGACACACAACGGGTGAACACCCGGCTGCAATGTCACCGTGAGAGCCTCCTCGGCAGCAAAGCGGATAAACCCCACTGCCCCCATGTGTCAAGTCCCAGCAGCAAGGCCTCGTGTGTCAAGTTCCAGCACCCGTGTGTCAAGTCCCAGCCCCCGTGTGTCAAGTCCCAGCACCCAGCCCCCGTGTGTCAAGTCCCAGCACCCAGCCCCCGTGTGTCAAGTCCCAGCACCCAGCCCCAGTGTGTCACGTCCCAGCACCCAGCCCCCGTGTGTCAAGTTCCAGCCCCCGTGTGTCAAGTCCCAGCACCCAGCCCCCGTGTGTCAAGTCCCAGCCCCCGTGTGTCAAGTCCCAGCACCCAGCCCCCGTGTGTCAAGTCCCAGCACCCAGCCCCCGTGTGTCAAGTCCCAGCACCCAGCCCCCGTGTGTCAAGTCCCAGCACCCAGCCCCAGTGTGTCAAGTCCCAGCACCCAGCCCCAGTGTGTCACGTCCCAGCACCCAGCCCCCGTGTGTCAAGTCCCAGCATCCAGCCCCAGTGTGTCACGTCCCAGCATCCAGCCCCAGTGTGTCACGTCCCAGCACCCAGCCCCAGTGTGTCACGTCCCAGCACCCAGCCCCCGTGTGTCAAGTCCCAGCACCCAGCCCCCGTGTGTCACGTCCCAGCACCCAGCCCCAGTGTGTCACGTCCCAGCACCCAGCCCCAGTGTGTCACGTCCCAGCACCCAGCCCCCGTGTGTCAAGTCCCAGCACCCAGCCCCCGTGTGTCAAGTCCCAGCATCCAGCCCCAGTGTGTCACGTCCCAGCATCCAGCCCCAGTGTGTCACGTCCCAGCACCCAGCCCCAGTGTGTCACGTCCCAGCACCCAGCCCCCGTGTGTCAAGTCCCAGCACCCAGCCCCCGTGTGTCACGTCCCAGCACCCAGCCCCAGTGTGTCAAGTCCCAGCACCCAGCCCCCGTGTGTCACGTCCCAGCACCCAGCCCCCGTGTGTCAAGTCCCAGCACCCAGCCCCAGTGTGTCACGTCCCAGCACCCAGCCCCCGTGTGTCAAGTCCCAGCACCCAGCCCCAGTGTGTCACGTCCCAGCACCCAGCCCCCGTGTGTCAAGTTCCAGCCCCCGTGTGTCAAGTCCCAGCCCTCGAGTGTCAAGTCCCAGCCCCCGTGTGTCAAGTCCTGGCGCCGAGCGCGCCACCAAAGACCTCGCCGGTGACCCGTCCGGTCCGTTCAGGCGGCCGTGGGGGCACGTGGACGTGGCGTGACGGCGGCGGTGGCGGCTGCCGCGTGGAGGCTGCGTGCGCACAGCCTCTCAAGAGGTTTTTTTTTATGCTCCGTATATGTTGCTCTGCGCGGTCACCTCGTATCGACATTCGCAAGATAAATCTCACTGCCAACGCCCCCCACCCTCCGCCAGATCACGCAGCGACCTCCAAGAATGATCAGCCCTGATGACGGTGTCCGACCAGCCGGCCCGAGGTCTTCCCCTCGGTCGCCAGCCTCGTGGGGACCGCTCCAACGCCGCTCTTGAATAAGAAACACTTTTCCCAAGATGGTGTAACTGTTGTTTTGCATGAGAGAGAGGGGGGGGGGGGGGGCAATGTGGAAAGCCAACTAGCGTCATGCCCAGAGGGGTCAGCCAGTGACGTGCAAACCGGTGGTGGAAGATGGCTACGGAGCTTCCAGCTGGTACTCGTAACCATCAACATGCGGATTGGATCAAGAATGTGCAGCGGGTGCAGCAGGTGAAGTGAGTGCAGCGGGTAAATCGGGAGCGGCGAGTGCGGCGAGTGCAGCGGGTGATGCAGGTGAAGTGAGTGCAGCGGGTGATGCATGTGCAGTGGGTGATGCAGGTGCTTCTTGCCGGCTAGGACTGTGTCGGGCCACGACGCTGAATACTGGTCGAGGCACCTGCACTGTCCCACGCCGATAAGGCGAAGCTGTCGGCAGGGGGAAGGTGCAGCCAGCTCCATTGTTGTACTCTACTTCTATTCGCCTTCACCCGACGCGGTAAAGTATGTTCACATGACCCGCACCTTTGTGGGGGAGGGGATTGACTGACTCACACACCACTTACAACACTCACACACCACTTACAACACACACACACCACTTACAACACACACACACTACTCACAACACACACCACTCACAACACACACACACACCACTAACAACACACACACACCACTCACAACACACACACACCACTCACAACACACACACACCACAACACACGCACCACTCACAACACACGCACCACTCACAACACACGCACACTCACAACACACGCACCACTCACAACACACGCACCACTCACAACACACCACCACTCACAACACACACACCACTCACAACACACACACCACTCACAACACACGCACCACTCACAACACACGCACCACTCACAACACACGCACCACTCACAACACACGCACCACTCACAACACACGCACCACTCACAACACACACACCACTCACAACACACACACCACTCACAACACACACACCACTCACAACACACGCACCACTCACAACACACGCACCACTCACAACACACACACCACTCACAACACACACACCACTCACAACACACACACCACTCACAACACACACACACCACTCACAACACACGCACCACTCACAACACACACACCACTCACAACACACACACACACCACTCACAACACACACACCACTCACAACACACACACCACTCACAACACACACACACACCACTCACAACACACACACACACCACTCACAACACACGCACCACTCACAACACACGCACCACTCACAACACACGCACCACTCACAACACACGCACCACTCACAACACACGCACCACTCACACACACCACCACTCACAACACACACACCACTCACAACACACACACCACTCACAACACACGCACCACTCACAACACACGCACCACTCACAACACACGCACCACTCACAACACACACACCACTCACAACACACACACCACTCACAACACACACACCACTCACAACACACGCACCACTCACAACACACGCACCACTCACAACACACCACACACTCACAACACACACACCACTCACAACACACACACCACTCACACACACACACCACTCACAACACACACACCACTCACAACACACACACCACTCACAACACACACACCACTCACACACCACCACTCACAACACAACCACTCACAACACACACACCACTCACAACACACACACCACTCACAACACACACACACCACTCACAACACACACACCACTCACAACACACACACCACTCACAACACACACACCACTCACAACACACACACCACTCACAACACACGCACCACTCACAACACACGCACCACTCACAACACACGCACCACTCACAACACACACACCACTCACAACACACACACCACTCACAACACACACACCACTCACAACACACACACCACTCACAACACACACACCACTCACAAAACACACCACTCACAACACACACACCACTCACAACACACACACCACTCACAACACACACACCACTCACAACACACACACCACTCACAACACACACACCACTCACAACACACACACCACTCACAACACACACACCACTCACAACACACACACCACTCACAACACACGCACACCATATGGCGTGCACGGCGCCAGCCGCGGCAGTGCGGCAACGTGGGAATCAGAAAACTGGCAAAGGCGCCGACTTTCAAGGCGAGGTGTCGCTGACGGAGGGCCTCATCAACGCGGGGGGTGGGGGGGGGGATACTGGCGGGTCCCGCATACAAAGTTACCGGGCGCGCCCGCAGGAGTACCGGGACGGGAACCGCCGCACGGTACCCGCGTTGATCCTTGCCGCCGACAGGTGAACCGGGCGACGACTGCAGCCGCATTTCCCACACCCCCCTCCTGCCCTCCGAGTCTTCCTCGCGAGACTGGCAGCCGGGGAAACGGAGCGCTCTCGACTCGTCCCCCGACTTCGCGAGGAGAACGCTGGGCATGGGACACGGCATGGGGGGGGGGGGGTTCACGCATGCATCCACGACGCAAGAGCCGCTCGTTTGCATCTTGCTTTCAAAAGTCTTGGGGAAACACCGCTCCCTATTCACAAGACGAGGCCAAGTGACGTTCGCGTTGCACCTTCGTCGCAGCGGGGACGATGCGGTCGCACGCGTTGCCTCCGCTCGCCGGGTTCACGCGGTCCATGCGTTCGTGCGCGCGTTGTTGGGGGGGGGGGGGTGGGGGGGTGGTGCCGGGAGCTGAGCGCCGGCGTCGCGACCGCCCGGCGCTCAGCCAATGGCCGAGCCGGCCGCGTGGGCGGCGGCGTGGGCGGTGGCGTGGGGCGAGTCGTGACCGTAGGCGCGCCCCAGCAGCAGGCGGTCCCGCAGCAGACGGAACACGAGGCAGTAGTTGGCGAAAAGGAGCAGCGCGGCGGATAGGGCGTGGTTCCAGCGGTCTGAGCGCGCCAGCCAGTACAGCTGGTACACCACAACGCCGCCCTCCAGCACCAGCAGTGAGTTGAGCACCCTCAGCGGCTTGTGGAAGAGAAACTGGCGGAACACGTGCGGGGAACGGGCGCGTCAAACGGGAAAAGTGCGCCACTCATGCCGATGGAATCTATTTTAAATGTTTCCATTATTATACAAATCGTAGTTGTTGAGGAAGGACAACAAACTAAACAGAAAAAGCACTTCTAAAGAAATTAGTTTTCCATCTAGATGATTTATAAAAGCATAGCCCCAGTGGTTCGTAATATCGATATGCCTTTCATCAGCAAGTGGCGGAGAGGAACACAGCGGTTAAAATTCCACATTCCTATGGCAGATACCAGTTTCTGTTACCTTCGGCATAGCACGTATACCGGCTGAGGAGCGTAATCCACTCAGTAATGTGTTCACACGTCTTGATAAGGGAGGCAAGCTAGTATACCGAACGCCCACAACGGTGCGTTCGGGTTTTGGGAGTCATACCGTCGTCCACTTACTCCACAGTGTGACATTTATAAACAAACTAGCGCCTTGATCTCCCTCAAAGTCACCCCAACGTACACCGGTGCCGTCACACCGTGGAGTTGAACATGTCCTGTACTATTGCGCTGTACTCCAATGCACCGACCCCTATGCTCTCTCTGCGTGTGCCAAACATGAACCAAAACCAGCATACGGTAAAAAAAACGCGTTGACCCAAGCGGCGAGCGGACCGCAGAGCCGGCTGTCTCCATGCGGGGCGTTTCACTCAGGCGAGTCTCGCGGTTTGCCCCCCCGAGGCCCATCGAAGAAGGCTGCGGCACGTGGCGTCTGGCACCCCTCCCCCCCCCGGGCGGCGCACTCACGTAGAAGCGAGAGTGCGACGCGTCGGAGGGCACGGCGACGTTGCAGGAGCCGACGGCCTTGTACAGGCCCTTGTTGTGCCGCACCAGCACTCCTTGGGGCCAGATCGTCGTCTCCGACCAACTGTGCACGGTGGCACGGGGCAACAGACAGACAGACATCCCAGCGGAGCCTCAACAGCCTGGTGGGGCGAGAGCCGTCAGCGAGAATGTACGGAGGGCGGCAGGGTGCCGCGTGGGTGCTACGTGGGCGACGCGTGTGTGCCGCGTTGGTGCCGCACAGGCGCCGCGTGGGTGGCGTGTGAGTGGCGTGTGAGTGGCTGTGTGTGGGCGCCACGTGGGCACAGCGTGGGTACCGTGTGGGTGATGTGTGAGTGCCGCGTGGGTCTCCTGGGTGCCTTGTGAGTGTCTCGTGGGTGCCGCGTGGGTAATGTGTGAGTGGTGTGTGGGTGCCTTGTGGGTGCCTTGTGGGTGCCTTGTGGGTGCCTTGTGGGTGCCTTGTGGGTGCCTTGTGGGTGCCTTGTGGGTGCCTTGTGGGTGCCTTGTGTCTCGTGATTGTCTCGTGGGCGCCATGCGCACGGCTGGCGTATGCGTGCTGTGGCGTGTGGGCGCCATGCGCACGGCTGGCGTACGCATGCTGTGGCGTGTGGGCGCCATGCGCACGGCTGGCGTATGCGTGCTGTGGCGTGTGGGCGCCATGCGCACGGCTGGCGTACGCGTGCTGTGGCGTGTGGGCGCCATGCGCACGGCTGGCGTACGCGTGCTGTGGCGTGTGGGCGCCATGCGCACGGCTGGCGTATGCGTGCTGTGGCGTGTGGGCGCCATGCGCACGGCTGGCGTACGCGTGCTGTGGCGTGTGGGCGCCATGCGCACGGCTGGCGTACGCGTGCTGTGGCGTGTGGGCGCCATGCGCACGGCTGGCGTATGCGTGCTGTGGCGTGTGGGCGCCATGCGCACGGCTGGCGTACGCATGCTGTGGCGTGTGGGCGCCATGCGCACGGCTGGCGTACGCGTGCTGTGGCGTGTGGCTGTAGGCGCTGCTCTCCAGGCGGTGCCAGCGGCCCAGGTGGGTGGCGGCGCGGTGAAGCAGGTCGCAGTAGCGCGGCGGCAGCAGCTGCGAGGTGAGCATCACGAAGGTGTTCACCCACACCAGGATGAGGTGCTCGCACGACCAGCGCATGTCGTAGTACTGCGTGCTCTGTGGACGACAAAGACAAACATCCCCCGTGTAGCCTTTTGGGGGGTAGGTGCTGTTAGCGAGCACCTATGAAGGCAAGGTTGGCACTCGAAGGAGTACTCATTTGCAGCCGAGTTGACCTAGGAGAGGTCCAAGATCAGATCAGATAAATCGTCAGTGGTTTTGGCCGATGCGCACACACATGCATGCACGTGGTCTTTAGATTGAGTGAGGCAGTGAGGAAAAGCGACCACGACTGACTTCATGAAAAGCTGCACTCACGTTTAACTTAAAACGAGGGTTCCTGTAGCCACTGCGCTGACCCAGATGTCTTTTGGGTCCCGCCACGAGGTGGTTATGCACCTTGTCATTAACCCTTTACCATCCGTGTTTACCAAGATATTATCTATACGCGCCAATGCATTGACGGAATAACGCTCTGAGCATCAACATTTCGCTCAAACTGTTTCGAGTTTCATCAGATAGCGAGCTCGGACACAGAGTACAGTCACAGCCCGATTTACGTCTCCCCCTTTTGCGTCGTCACTTTATTATTATTATTAACACCGCTACCAGATTTGCGTCGTCTCCACCCAGCACTTACGTCACCGATGGCATTGGCCTTCGCTTCCACCACCCACTACTGCCCTGCAAACGTCGTTTCGATATCTGTCATCGCAATCTTCAGGAACACATTCCCCGACGTAAACCGGTGTGTTTAGAGTACTCATTTTATTGACTGTGACGACGAAGACGATTTGGTGATCGAGAATATTGAGCGTGGCAGCCGAGGGAGGCGCCCCGAGGAGACGAAGCGCGATGGATTCGGCTCGCGGCGCAGGCGCCAGGCGCACAGCGCTCCGCCGCAGCGGGGAGACCGCGGCAAACGATGGCGGGAGCGACGAGGGAGGGGGGAGAGAGGGAGGGAGGGAGCGAAGGAGGGAGGGAGGGGGGAGAGAGGGAGCGAAGGAGGGAGGGAGGGAGCGAAGGAGGGAGCGATAGGAGGAAGGGAGGGAGGAAGGGATGGAGGGAGTGAGGGAGCGAGGGAGCGAGGGAGGGAGGGAGGGAGCGAGGGAGCGAAGGAGGGGGAAGGGAGGGGGGGAGAGAGGGAGCGAGGGAACGAGGGAACGAAGGAGGGAGGGAGCGAGGGAGCGAGGGAGCGAAGGAGGGAGGAAGGGAGGGGGGGAGGGAGGGGGGAGAGAGGGAGCGAGGGAACGAGGGAACGAAAGGAGGGAGGGAGCGAGGGAGCGAGGGAGCGAGGGAACGAAGAAGCGAGGGAGGGAGGGAGCGAGGGAGCGAGGGAGCGAGGGAGCGAAGGAGCGAGGGAGCGAGGGGGAGCGAGGGAACGAAGGAGCGAGGGAGCGAGGGAGCGAGGGGGAGCGAGGGGAACGAAGGAGCGAGGGAGGGAGGGAACGAGGGAACGAAGGAGGGAGGGAGGGAGCGAGGGAGCGAGGGAACGAGGGAACGAGGAGGGAGCAAGGGAGCGAGGGAACGAAGAAGAAGCGAGGGAGGGAGGGAGCGAGGGAGCGAAGGACGAGGAGGGAGCGAGGGAGCGAGGGAACGAAGGAGCGAGGGAGAGGGAGCGAGGGGAGCGAGGGAGTGAGGGAACGAAGGAGAGAGGGAGGAGGGAACGAGGAAATGAAGGAGGGAGGGAGGGAGGGAGAGAGAGGGAGCGAGGGAGCGGGAAGGAGAGGGACGAAGAGGGAGGGGGAGAGGGGAACGAAGGAGCGAGGGAGCGAGGGAGCGAGGGAACGAAGAGCGAGGGGGAGCGAGGGAACGAAGGAGCGAGGGAGCGAGGGAGCGAGGGAACGAAGGAGCGAGGGAGGGAGGGAACGAGGGAACGAAGGAGGGGAGGGAGGGAGCGAGGGGAGCGAGGGAACGAGGGAACGATGGGGAACGAAGGAGGGAGCGAGGGAGCGAGGAACGAAGGAGCGAGGGAGGGAGGGAACGAGGGAACGAAGGAGGGAGGAGCGAGGGAGCGAGGGAAACGATGGAAACGACTGGAACGAAGGAGGGAGTGATGGGAGCGAGGGAGCGAGGGTAGCGAGGGAGCGAGGAGCGAAGGAGCGAGGAGCGAGGGAGCGATGGGAGCGATGGGAGCGAGGGGAGCGAGGGAGCGAGGGAGGGGAGGGAGGGAGCGAGGGAGCGAGGGAGGGGGGAGGGAGCGAGGGAGCGAGGAGGGAGGGAGCGAGGGAGCGATCGGGAGCGAGGGAGCGCAGGGAGCGAGGGAGGGGAGGGAGGGAGCGAGGGAGGGAGGGAGCGAGCGATGGGAGCGAGGGAGGGCGGGAGGGAGCGAGGGAGCGAGGGGCGCGAGGGAGGGAGGGAGCGAGGCGAGCGAGGGAGCGAGGGAGCGAGGGAGCGAGGGAGCGAGGGAGCGAGGGAGGGAGGGAACGAGGGAACGAAGGAGGGAGGAGGGAGGCGAGGGAGCGAGGGGAGCGGGGAGCGAGGGGAGGGAGCGAGGGAGCGAGGGAGCGAGGGAGCGAGGGAGGGAGGAGAGCGAGGGAGCGAGGGAACGAAGGAGCGAGGGAGGGAGGGAACGAGGGAACGAAGGAGGGAGGGAGGGAGCGATGGGAGCGAGGGAACGATGGGAACGAAGGAGGGAGGGAGGGAGGGAGCGAGGGAGCGAGGGAACGAAGGAGCGAGGGAGGGAGGGAACGAGGGAACGAAGGAGGGAGGGAGGGAACGAGGGAGCGAGGGAGCGAGGGAGCGAGGGAGCGAGGGAACGAGGGAGCGAGGGAGCGAGGGAGGGGAGGGAGGGAGCGAGGAGCGAGGGAGCGAAGGAAGGGAGGGGGGAGGGAGGGGGGGAGAGAGGGAGTGAGGGAGCGAGGGAGCGAAGGAGAGAGGGAGGGGGTGGGTTCGCACGGTGGAGCAGCGACGCTCACCTTGACGAAGCACAGTGGCAGGAAGGCGACGTAGTAGGCGCTGAACAGCGAATTAAAGAGGATCTCCTTGATGCGCTTGTTGAAGTCGGTCTTGAGCATGTGCACCTCGGCGCGCACAAGGTCGGGCGACAGCACACACGCGTGCGTGGGGATGCTGTCCCCGCTGTGGAACTGCTCCCTGCCGACGGGAGGGACACCGATCGGCACGGAGCCGCCCGGCACGCACCGCACGCCTCTGTCTCCCCCCAACCTCTCCGTTACCCTGGGTGTGCCATTGGTTGAGCTATCAATTGTGGCCAGGTCACTTCTGAAGAATAAATGAATACCTCAGTGGGCTTTGCCTGCAAGGATGGGGGTGGTTTAGTTTTATATGTGTTTGGGTTATTTGTTTACCTTGCTTGTACTTTGCACGACTATCGTGTTTGTTGTTTGTTGCAACAATCTTACCCCGTGCCCCGACTGGACATCTGTGAAAAAGAGCTTTATAGCTCATCGGATTCCTCAAGTATAAATAAATATTCTGATTCTGATCTCTCGCAAGGCAGCGCGACCCTTCGTGTTGGATAATTAAGCGGCGGACAATACGCCTCCTTCGCAGACCTGTCCAGCCACGCAGAAAATTTTAAAAAATGTTGACACTTCCTGCCAACCTGAAAGCCTATTTCAGTCGTGGTGCAGTGACACTGCACAAGCTGCATTGATGCCCATTTCACAGTCGTCAATATTTACAATCATTTACAGACTTTGCCAATCCACTGCTGGATGAAGACCTCACCAATGCCGTGTCGGTGATGGAGGGTATTTGACCGTACTTCACCGTGCTGGGCAGTGCGGGTTGGTGAATGGGTGGGGGTGGGGGAGGGGGGGACCAGACCCATTTTAGATCTCACTGGCTTACTGATGTTAGCCGTGTCCGGGAAAGGAACTCGGTTTGTCGGGCTCATAATCCAGGGTGCTAACCACGGCACCACCCCTCTGCGGTAGCGACGACACGGCCGGTGTGGCGGATGCGAGTTTGGCCCCCGCCGCGCCTTACCTCAGCGTTTCCAAGATGAGGGCCCGGTACGGCCTCGGCTTGGATTCCTCCCCATCGCTGCCTTCCGCTGGTTTCCGTGGTGACGGAGGGGGGCTGGCGGTGAGCTCCGAGCCCCCGCCGTCGGAGCCCCGCACCCCTTCGTGGTGCAGCCCGTATAGGGGGATGTACACAAGAAACCTAAGAAACACACGCGCTCACGATGAAACCCAAGAAACAGCATGGTGGATCAACGCTGTGCGCCCGCCGGGCTGAACCCACGCTTCTACACACGGGGCGAGGATGTGAGAGGCGGCGGCAGCGACTTGGGGAGGCCTTCATTCAGCAGTGGATCGACCATGGCCGACGATGACGACATCAACCCATGCGGGTATCCCTCGGTTTATGAACGTTCGGTTTGCGAAAAAACTGCGTTCACGTAAATGACAAATTCGATTCACGAAATAGAATTTCCGAAATTTCACTACGGCCACACGCCGTGAGATCATCGAACAAGAGCCATCCGGGAGGCTGCGTCGTCATCCATCGGCGACAGCGTCACACAGTATCTCTGCAGTGGCAGCAGTAACGCCTCCACGTCACCCTGCCAGTCATTCCAACGTGCAGCAGCTTGTTTATGGCGAGTTCGCTGACAAAGTTTTGAAAATCCGTTCTGATTTATGGAATTTCGTTTTTATTCTTTTCACGTGTTTTTAAAGAACCTCATCCCTTTCAGAAATCCAGGGATACCTGCATGAAGATGAAATCTTCTGCTTAAGCCTCAAACCGACTTTGGCAAAAGGCACTGCAAGCAAACAGCTAACAGACGAAGGGACAGACACGTTAACCCACAACAGCCGCAAGCCGCCACACAGTGGCAGTGATGTCACCACGGTGCTCGTGCCAGACTAGGTGCTTGCTGCTGGCAGGTTACGGGTACAGACCCAGGTGTTATGGTTTGACTGACTGAGACGACACCCACAACAGAGACCCCCCCCCCCGTACAGCGCTATTAGCGAGCACCGATGAAGGCCAGTACGGCGCATGAGGGGGTGGGTGGCCAGCACAAAGCCCTGCGTCGCTCCCTTTGTCTCCACAGTGCTGATGTTCACACACTGCACCACGTAATAATTTGAGGCCGAGTCGACCAAGGGGAGGTCCAGGACCGGTTCAGATAATCGCCACAAACATTCACCACTGTTATTGGTCGGGTAGCCGGGTCGACAGTGCAGAATTGTGAAGCAGTGCACCACCGCTCCGTACACTCCACGTGTTTGTGCAGTGGCGGCGGCACCGGCACACTCACGGATAGCAGAGGAAGAGCAGGTTGATGAACGAGTGGCTGCGGAAGAGGTTGATGAGCGCCCAGCACAGCGTCCACCCGGAGCCGGTGAGCAGCACGAGGCGGGCGAGCACCAGCGTGGCGTAGCGCCAGGCGGCGGGCGAGGGCCGTGCCTGCCACTGACTCACCTGCAGGTGGCACAGCGGGTCAGCAGTCAGCCTCGCTCAGTCGATGCGTTGTTCTTTCCTTAAAACACTCACCGAGTATCCCTTGCTATCCCCCACTCCCATTCACCCCCTCCCTTCCCCATCATTAACACACCATCCCTCTCCCCGACTTCTCCACCCGTTCACTCACTCATCACTAACCGCTCATTGTCACTCTCATCATCGCTTATTTCACGCATCATCGTATTCACGCACTGTAATCCTTCTCATCAAGCCATCTCATCATCACACTATTCTGCTGTACAAACAGTTATTTATTGGTTCAGCGCCTTAATCAAGACGCTATATAAATTAAAGATAAAATAAGACCTCAACACTGGGGCGCTCGTCCCCTAGTTGACGAAAAGAATGAATGCCCGTTTTGAGTTCTACCCACGGTGGGGATGGCGACACTGCACACACCGCTGGGAGGGAGGCTGGGAGGGAGAGAGGGGGAGGGGAGGAGGAGGGGATGGGAGGGAGGGAGGCTAGGAGGGAGGGGAGGAGGAGGGGATGGGAGGGAGGGGAGGAGGAGGGGATGGGAGGGAGGGGAGGAGGAGGGGATGGGAGGGAGGTTGGGAGGGAGGGAGGGGGAGGGAGGTTATCTTATCTGGTAACTGCAAGCGAATAAAAACAAAATCAACGAACGCTCTGCATGCGTGATGTCATTTGTTTTGCGCTTGCTGGTTACTCTTGAAAACTACATTGTTTACAATCAATAAGCGTATAAAGGTCTTCTATATCGTTCTAGGTTACCACATGGATTTAAATTGTATCGTAGTTATTTTATTTTGGCAGTTGATTATTCACCGATGACTCTCACGTATGATACCATTTCACACATTCATAAATCACCTCACGTACCCCCTCGGACACTGCTCCATACTCCCAGGGTTCCGCGTGCCCCCGTTTCAGAACCACTGCGATACACAACGCTGGTGCAACGCCTCCACTGTCACCCTTCCCCCTCCTCCCACGAACACCACTTGGCTTTTTCTCCGTCGAAACCCGAGGATCGGAGCGCCCTCGGAGCGCCCTCTCCGGTCCACGCACACAGCAGAGGACGAGGAGGAGTTAAACTTTGACCTTTCCAGCGTCACCGCCGCCCTGCTGGACCCATGGGGGGTGGTGGTGGGGGGCGTCTAGAATAGGGTTCTTATTTCCTCGTGCGAGCGTGATCGGTATTTGAACGAAAAACGCAGTCAAGGAGTTGTACAGACCCCATCACGTACAAGGCACGGTGAGTCCTTCCATCCAGAAGTGGATTCACTATTTTATTTGAGCAGGTAAAGCCCACCAAGCTATTACCACTTTTTCAAAGGAGACCTTGCCACACACGATAGCTCGTCGAAGTGGCTTTATCATCGCATGTGGGAATTTATAGCAGCGGATAAATAGTCCGAACGCGCGTTTCTAAATGTGAGGGTAAAAAACTGGAAGACCTTGAGAAAAATGCACGCGACCACTTGGAGAGAACACGCGGACTCCAAACGTACAACAGGCATCGTCAGGGTTGGGTCCGAACTCACGAACTTCTGCATATCCGGCACAACTGTGGGCAAATTGGAAAAGACCCGTAAGTTTTAATATTTACATAAAGATACGTCGTTACGTAACGAGCTGTAATAGATACGTCGTTACGTAACGGCGCGGTTCGAACGTTCTCACGCGCCAGTTCGGTGGGGGGGGGGGGGGGGTCACGGCTCGTTACTAAACCTGATCCCGGATCACGCCACCGACTTGGCGACCCGTGGAACCAGTGACTCCGATTGCGTAAGGCCGCAATCAGACGCCGACAAGCGAAAGGGCGAGTGTCGCGCGGAGCCATTCGACGGCGGGTGACCGGCGACAGCCCTTGCCTCGGTGACGAGCGTCCACACGAGGCGGCGGGACAGCAGCACCCCGATGAACGCCACCAGGTGGTAGTCGATCTTGTGGAAGTTCTGCAGAGGAGGGGGGGAGCGGAGCACACGCTCGTTACCAGCGGCAGCGGCCACGGAACGCGAGCGACCCCGGCTCGCCACGCCCAGACAAGTGCGAGACAAACGCTCGTCACCCTCGGCGGCCCTGATGTCTGCAGTTGGAAATTCCACATTAGTATGGAGGGAACCGTTACAGCCGTAGGAAAGCCCAAAAGTGGTGCTCATATTATCAACCGCCAAGGAAGGGTGGGGTGAGCTCAACTCCCGGCCTGGAATAGAACTTGTAGCCGTCGCTTGCGAGTTGGGTACCAAATGCGACCTGGTTGGATTAGGGTTCGGTTAGCTAGCGGTGTACCACCTTGTGTCAGAGAACGTCACAGAGCTACTTCATAGGGCCCTCCCTGAGGCCGGGTTGTTTTACACAGCTGCTGAGCAAAAGGCCCAGAGGCCCAAAACGTCAAGCAACCAGCAACAAACAGCACTGTCAAAGTTGCAACAGACAAGAGTGTTACACGTTTCTTGTATTGAGCAAGGTCATTATTACGAAAGCTTGGGAAAACATATGATGGGAGGGAATTCTCAAGTGGAGCAGTGCGAGGGAAGAAGCAGAGAGAGACATGCGGTGACCTGCAGTGTAGTGAGTGGCTGAGTGGGCGAGTGGGGGAGAGGGCGAGTGGCTGAGTGGGCGAGTGGGGGAGAGGGCGAGTGGGCGAGAGGGGGAGAGGGTGAGTGGGGGAGAGGGGGAGTGGGGGAGAGGGGGAGAGGGCGAGTGGGCGAGAGGGCGAGCGGGCGAGAGGGCGAGTGGGCGAGAGGGCGAGCGGGCGAGTGAGCGAGTGGGGGAGGGGGAGAGTGGGGGAGAGGGTGAGTGGGGGAGGGGGTGAGTGGGCGAGTGGGGGAGAGGGCAAGTGGGGGAGTGGGTGAGTGGGCGAGAGGGCGAGTGGGCGAGTGGGGGAGAGGGCGAGTGGCCGAGAGGCCAAGTGGGCGAGTGGGGGAGCGGGCGAGTGGGCGAGTGAGAGAGTGGGGGAGGGGGTGAGTGGGCGAGTGAGTTGTTGTGACCGATGGTTGAGCACAGGCTGGATGAGACGAAGCAGTCAGTGTCTGGTTGACGAAGTCGACAACCCTGGTAGATGAATGAAGGAGTCAAGGAGTTCACGAGAGAACAGCAACCACGGTGGTGGTGGTAGCAGTGACAGAGGAGCGACAAGGAGGTGGGCGGCTGCCGACGGGAGGGGGGGGGCAGGGGGGGTTTTGGAATCATCAACCACCCCGACTGCTTCACTCTCAATTCTATCCAGTGCAGTGAGGTAGGAACTGGGTGCTCTGCCCCAGATGTGACAGCAGCAGGCTTCCAAAGTGCACTTCGTGCAGGAGTAATAATATAATCGTTTGGAATTAGAAGACTCTGGCAAAGAACGCGAGCACGCGCGTGTGCGTGCGTGCGCGGGGAGCGGCAGTGTAGCGGTTAGCACGCTGCTCTACAAACCTGGCGACCCGGGTTCGATTCCCGCTCACGGCCAACATCAGTGACAATTATCTGAACCGGTCTTGGGCCTCCCCTCAAATGAGTACATGATGTGGCGTGTAAACATCACCACTAGGGAGACAAAAGGCGGCAGGAAATGGTGTTGGCCATCCATCCCTTCGGCCTTCATAGGTGCTACTCACAGCCCTTGCCCCAACAGTCTGTTCAGGCTATACTGGGGGGGGGGCGCTACCGGCGCTACCAGCCAGGCCACGCGGTCCCCAGCTGCCCCACCTCGGGCTACCCGGCTCACCAGCGAGGTGTGCGAGGGCGGCCCTTCGGGCGGGTACCACCACACCGTCTTGTACAGGTTCACATAGTGCATGCACAGTGCCAGCAGCAGGTACGCCAGCAGCAGCGCCTCGAAGACGAGCCCGCTGTCCAGCGCCACGTCCGGCACGCGTGCGTGCTTGATTTGGTACGGCCCGCTCGCCGCGGCCAGTGGGGGGCTATTCAGCCCCGAGGCCGTACCATTCCTACCACAGGGGAGGGGGGAAAAGCAGATTCATTTTAGTCAACAGGAGATGTGATGATTCATCGATGGGTATCGATTATTAAACTCGTGATACATAGAATATAAGCGCCAACAAAACGTGGTCACACGTGTATGCATACATAAATACATACACACACACACACACACCTATAAAAAGACAAAGATCACCCGAATAGCCTTAACAGACTGTAGGAGCAAGTGCTGGTTACAGGGATGGTCTATACCGTGGGTTGCATGGCGAGACTAGCACGGTGTCTTTACATTTCCCTTCTAACCCTGTGCTGGCGTTAGCATTCCACGGTCCGTGTTTCTCTCCAACTCCGTCTCCTCCGCCGCCACCGCGTTTTACTCGGCGTTAGCGATCAATGTGATTCCGAATCAATTTGCGCATGTTCTGTGTTTATTGCACTTTGTTTTTAGCTTCACGGTTTTTTGGTGACCGTCCCTTTTTAGCATCCCCTTTCAGCGAGCGGGGCTTGCGTTTGTTAACTTGGGTTTCCTGGTGGCTGCTGTGGCCGGGAAAACACTTCCACGGCGAGTACTGTACACCACCAGTACAGTGCACAAACTCCACACAGTGCCGTGGGTTTATTTACCGAAGAATGAATGCATAGATATGAATTTACATTCACGTTCAGACGTGTTTGTATTGCTAGTTGGCACGTATAGGGTGGTTGGCAATATGCTACGTCGTACAGTTCGAGTCTAATGGATCATTGCCGCGGGACTCGGGATTTCTCATCATTGTTGAGTGTCTCACGGCCGTGCAATGAATTCTCTCACTGTTGTTGTAAATAGCACGCTCAGCCCCGTTTCTTGCAGTGTCTCACTGGCAGCTGCAGCCTCTATGAGAAACTAAAAACGCCGCGAAACTATTTTTTTATTTTACCAGGTAAGGCCCAATGAGCTGCTGTGTAACTCTTTTTCGGAAGCGACCTGGCGATCACAAATGATAGCTCAACCAAGTGTCTTGTTGTTATCATGTGGACATTCATAGTAGCTGCCAATTTACTCTAAGCGCACTTTGATTCTAAATGTGGAGAATCCACGTGATCAAGGGGAGAGAGAGAGACAAACAAACTCCAAATATACAGAAGATGTCAGGGTTGGGGAAAAAAACCCCGACCTCCTGTAGACCAGGCGAGGTAGTCAACATCTCGAAACCTTCAAGCGGGGAAACTAGTCACAACTGGCCTAGGTTACTATTATTATTTAATTCACCATGAGGGAAGGGGGTGTTCACTAAGTGGTGAAAATTACTATGGGGACCTCATTTGCCAGTAAAAATATGATAATTGATTTTTTACCCTTCTATCTGGCAACAAAACTGACACCTTTTTGCAAGGAGTCATGTTTGCATAGACCGCAATACCTGCAGTCATAATACAAACAAAAGAACATAACTCTGATAATGTGCACTGTCCTTGAAGTTGATTGGTCCACACCCGAGACAGCTTTCCTTCGAGCCTAGTCTCATATGGGTTGGACCAGATGACGCCAAAAGGCGCACAACTCAAGGACAATGCACCATCAGAGTATGAGAGCTCGGGGCAAGCATCTACACTATGGGGACCTCATTTGCCAGTAAAAATATGATAATTGGTTTTTTACCCTTCTATCTGGCAACAAAACTGACACCTTTTTGCAAGGAGTCATGTTTGCATAGACCGCAATACCTGCAGTCATAATACAGGTATTGCGGTCTATGCAAACATGACTCCTTGCAAAAAGGTGTCAGTTTTGTTGCCAGATAGAAGGGTAAAAAATCAATTATCATATTTTTACTGGCAAATGAGGTCCCCATAGTGTAGATGCTTGCCCCGAGCTCTCATACTCTGATGGTGCATTGTCCTTGAGTTGTGCGCCTTTTGGCGTCATCTGGTCCAACCCATATGAGACTAGGCTCGAAGGAAAGCTGTCTCGGGTGTGGACCAATCAACTTCAAGGACAGTGCACATTATCAGAGTTATGTTCTTTTGTTTGTATTATGACTGCAGGTATTGCGGTCTATGCAAACATGACTCCTTGCAAAAAGGTGTCAGTTTTGTTGCCAGATAGAAGGGTAAAAAACCAATTATGGTGAAAATTAGTTTCCTATTGCTGCTATCCAAACTCATTTAATAAACCCCAAACCGCCCCCTTCTTTTAAAAAATATCAGACTTGCGCTTGCCCGCTGCGTGACAGGTAAATGTTTATGTGCCGAGGTTTCTCTCGGTTTCTGGGCGTTCTGCTTCAATTTGGGGTTCCCACCCCAAGATGTTTCGATAGGAGGAGGGGGGGGGTCTCACTGATTTATTTGGGGTTAATACGGACGCTGCATAGGTTATCATTGGGTGCAGCAGCTTGCCGGATCGGGACTACACCCTACGAGTTCTGGCGAGTTGGGCTTTCCCCGTAAATGTACCCAACGGTGTGCACCGCTGGGTCCACGCGGAACGCCGCGGCAGCTGCGGATTGCCGTGCGAGGCGAGTTGTCATCGGGGATGTCAAAGGAGCCGTGACTGGTGGCCGAGTGCGGTGCGTCTGGTAAATGGCCCCCAACTCACGGCGGATGTGAAGAGAGAAATGTGCCGTTGTACGATCAACGAAAAAACTCAACGCGTTCGCCAGTAACCCTGCGGCCTTAAACGGAAAAACATACAAAGGGCGACATTTCGTGCAATGTGTTTTGATGAAGGCCCACGACACGAAACGTCCACTAATATAGATTTGTTTTCCGTCTTTTAGGTCGCAGTGTTATTGACGAATGCGTTGAGTTTTTTGTTTGTTACTTGCGATTTTGCACCACTGCCCAACGCGGCGGCAGTGGCGGCATCGCCACTGGATAATCAGTTGCACAATTAGCCACGTGACGACGAAAGCAGGAGAGCGAGCGCCGGTCGAGTGGGGGGGGGCGGTACCTGCCGGAGCCCCCCACTCCTCCCTGCGCAGGAAGGGGCACGCGGGGGTACTGCTGCCGGGCTGGGCCCCTGCGGCCCCCCGCCATCCCGGGGACCGCTCCACGTGTTACCCAGTCGCCCGCTGTGTCTGCAAGCCACAGGGGTGTCACACGCAACGCACAAACACGCGATGCACAAACACGCGATGCACAAACACGCGACGCACCAACGCACAAACACACAACACACACAGCACACACAGCACACAACACATATACACAACACACACAAACGCAACACACACGAAACAATACACATGCAACACGCACGCAGCACACACCCAGCGCACAAAACACACAACACACATATAACACACACGCAACACAACACACAACACGCACAAAACACACGCGCAACATACATAACACACACGCAACGCACCAAACACACAGACAATACACACGCAACACACATGTAAATATCCATCATTTCCCGAAGGAGTGTGCATTGTGGTGATTAGGACGGGAAGTGAGAATTCATACACGAGTAGAGACACAGCAACAAGCAGTGCACAGATGCGTGTACAGGACCTACAAAAACTAAATTCTTTTTAGTTTTACCAGGTGATGCTCACTGAGCTATGTAGCTCTTTTTCACAAGCGACCTGGCCACACATGACAGCTCAACGAAGTGGCCTATCATCACGTGGAAGTGTATAGCAGCCAAACACTCGAAACGCGTGTTTCTAAATGTGGAGGGGAAAACCGGAAGCCTCTGAGAAAAATCCCCGTGACCACGGGGCGTTAAGAGTCAGAATAGAACCCACGACGTCGTGTATACAAGGCGAGGTAGTTAACATCTCCTCGCCACCCTGGGGACCGAGGTGTCCACACACACTCGCTCACCCCTCGCCACTCTTCTATAGCTACCGCCATGGTCACTCTTCCCATGAACTTTACTCAATGGTTCCACCACCACCACCACCACCACCCATGTTGAGGTCGACCAGAATGTTTCAACTCATTCATCCTGTGTTCAACCACCACACTGCAGGACACAACAACACCCACTCACCCACACACTTACCACACTGCAGGACACAACACCCACTCACCCACCCACTCATCCACCCACTCACTCACCACACTGCATGACACAACAACACCCACTCACCCACACACTAACCCACACACTAACCCACTCACTCACCACGCTGCTGGATACAACAACACCTACTCACCCATCCACCCACCCACTCACTCACCACACTGCTGGACACAACAACACTCACCCACCTACTCACCCACTCACTCACCACACTGCAGGACACAACACTCACCCACCTACTCACCCACCCACCACACTGCTGACGGTGACGTCACCACGACGCTTGTGCCAGGCCATGTGCACCTTGAGGCCACACCCACTCACTCACCCACTCACTCACCACACTGCAGGACACAACAACACTCACCCACCTACTCACCCACTCACTCACCACACTGCAGGACACAACAACACTCACCCACCTACTCACCCACCTACACACTCACCCACCCACTCACCCACCCACTCACCACACTGCAGGACACAACAACACTCACCCACCTACTCACCCACTCACTCACCACACTGCAGGACACAACAACACTCACCCACCTACTCACCCACCTACTCACCCACCTACTCACCCACCTACACACTCACCCACCCACTCACCACACTGCAGGACACAACAACACTCACCCACCTACTCACCCACTCACTCACCACACTGCAGGACACAACAACACTCACCCACCTACTCACCCACCTACACACCCACCTACACACTCACCCACCCACTCACCACACTGCAGGACACAACAACACTCACCCACCTACTCACCCACTCACTCGCCACACTGCAGGACACAACAACACTCACCCACCTACTCACCCACCTACTCACCCAGCTACACACTCACCCACCCACTCACCACACTGCAGGACACAACAACACTCACCCACCTACTCACCCACCTACTCACCCACCTACACACTCACCCACCCACTCACCACACTGCAGGACACAACAACACTCACCCACCTACTCACCCACTCACTCACCACACTGCAGGACACAACAACACTCACCCACCTACTCACCCACCTACACACTCACCCACCCACTCACCACACTGCAGGACACAACAACACTCACCCACCTACTCACCCACTTACTCACCACACTGCAGGACACAACAACACTCACCCACCTACTCACCCACCTACACACTCACCCACCCACTCACCACACTGCAGGACACAACAACACTCACCCACCTACTCACCCACTCACTCACCACACTGCAGGACACAACAACACTCACCCACCTACTCACCCACCTACACACCCACCTACACACTCACCCACCCACTCACCACACTGCAGGACACAACAACACTCACCCACCTACTCACCCACTCACTCGCCACACTGCAGGACACAACAACACTCACCCACCTACTCACCCACCTACTCACCCAGCTACACACTCACCCACCCACTCACCACACTGCAGGACACAACAACACTCACCCACCTACTCACCCACCTACTCACCCACCTACACACTCACCCACCCACTCACCACACTGCAGGACACAACAACACTCACCCACCTACTCACCCACTCACTCGCCACACTGCAGGACACAACAACACTCACCCACCTACTCACCCACCTACACACTCACCCACCCACTCACCACACTGCAGGACACAACAACACTCACCCACCTACTCACCCACTCACTCACCACACTGCAGGACACAACAACACTCACCCACCTACTCACCCACCTACACACTCACCCACCCACTCACCACACTGCAGGACACCACAACTTGTATTTTTGTTTTTTGCCCTCCCATTGCTCCACTTTGCAATTCCCTTTCACCAAGCTCTTGCGAATAACCTCTTTCAATCCAATAAACGTGTTCAACTCTTGCACGTGACAACTTTGACAGTGCTGTTCTATGATTGCAGTATGTTCACAACGCGTGTCTGTGTACATTCACAGTACTGTCAATGTACACGTGTGTACATTTAAATGATGTGTGATTGTCAACCTACTCACTCACCACACTGCAGGACACAAAAACACCCACTCACCCACCTCTTCCCTCACCCACTCACTCACCACACTACACCTGTGTCCGTATACGTGTACATAGACACGTATGCATAGAGACGTGTACACGTATACACGTGCATACGTGTCGTGTACGGCGGGGTGTGTAGCAGCTAGCGCGCACTGCGCTACTAACCCTGCGACCCGAGTCGGATGCCCGCCCAGGGCTCACAACACGAGTGAACCGATCTTGGGCCTGCCCTAGGTCGCCTCAGCCTCAAACAGAGTGCCCGGTGCGGCGTGCGTCGTCAACATCGCCACCAGGGAGCCGAGAGGCGGCCGGGCGCGGTGCCCCCCCCCCGCCCCCCATCTCGTCTGCCACGCTGCCGGCAGCAGCACCCCTCGCTGCTGCTGCTGCTGCTGCTCACAGCGCGCCTTGCCCCTGCAGTCTGTGCTGGGGGCTGTGTGCGTGCGCCTGTACCCGTCTCGGCGTGGTGGCTGGCGCATAGGAGGAGGAGGAGGAGGAGGCTGATGAGGAGGTTCCCAGGCACCCGAGTTCGACACCGGATCCCCGCGCCGCGCTCGTCAGTGGCAACTCGCCGCGCGCTGCGGCGGGGCCGGCTGCCCGCCGAGTCGCACCGAGTCGCACGGAGTCGCACGGAGTCGTTGCCCCGATGAGTCGCACGGAGTCGCCGTCGCCTTCCCCACAGCGACTCTTTGCTACTGTACGAGACGCGTGGCGAGCGGCGTCGTGACGTCACCGCGTAAACGCCGCGCGCTTGCGCGGTGACGTCACGACGCAGCGCGCGCTGCGTTTAGGCGGTGACGTCACGACGCACGGCGTCGCCGAGGGGTTGGGCGGTGACGTCACGACGTTAGTCTCCAGGGCAGAGATGTTCGTCGTCCGTGCGCCTCCTCCTGCCGATGTTTGGCTCCCCTCAGTAAAAACGAGACATGTATTTTGTTGACACATCACGCGGGCAAATAACCCCGCAACCTCGCAGGGCGTGGCCACAGATGTCTGGACATCTGTGGCTGCGCACGGTGCGAAAGAAGTTCCGCAAACGTACAAGAAAGAGCTTCATAGCTCATCGGATTTGTCGAGTATAGGATACATCAATATGTCTGATTCTGCACTGCGGAGGAAGAGGGAGGAACTGAGAAAGGGGCGGGCAGTGGGCGGCACGAAGGGGGCTCCAGACAGTGGGAGCAGTAGCAGCAGCAGGGGGGGGGAGGAGAAGGCGCGAGCTGCGGCCGAGCGGGCGGCAGTGCCGCTGCTGCTGCGGCCTCTGTCGGTGACTGCAGCGGTAGCAGCAGCTGCAGCAGCAGGAGGCAGCAGCAGCAGCAGGGGAGGCAGCAGCAGCAGCAGGAGGGGAGGCAGCAGCAGCAGCAGCAGCAGGGGAGGCAGCAGCAGCAGCAGGGGAGGCAGCAGCAGCAGCAGGGGAGGCAGCAGCAGCAGCAGGGGAGGCAGCAGCAGCAGCAGGGGAGGCAGCAGCAGCAGCAGCAGGAGGGGAGGCAGCAGCAGCAGCAGGGGAGGCAGCAGCAGCAGGGGAGGCAGCAGCAGCAGCAGGGGAGGCAGCAGCAGCAGCAGGGGAGGCAGGCAGCAGCAGCAGCAGCAGGGGAGGCAGCAGCAGCAGCAGGGGAGGCAGCAGCAGCAGGAGGGGAGGCAGCAGCAGCAGCAGGGGAGGCAGCAGCAGCAGCAGGGGAGGCAGCAGCAGCAGCAGGAGGGGAGGCAGCAGCAGCAGCAGCAGGGGAGGCAGCAGCAGCAGCAGGGGAGGCAGCAGCAGCAGGAGGGGAGGCAGCAGCAGCAGCAGGGGAGGCAGCAGCAGCAGCAGCAGGGGAGGCAGCAGCAGCAGGAGGGGAGGGAGCAGCAGGAGGGGAGGCAGCAGCAGCAGCAGGAGGGGAGGGAGCACCAGGAGGGGAGGCAGCAGCAGCAGCAGGAGGGGAGGGAGCAGCAGCAGTAGGGGAGGCAGCAGCAGCAGCAGGGGAGGCAGCAGCAGCAGGAGGGGAGGGAGCAGCAGCAGCAGGGGAGGCAGCAGCAGCAGCAGGGGAGGCAGCAGCAGCAGCAGGGGAGGCAGCAGCAGCAGGAGGGGAGGCAGCAGCAGCAGCAGCAGGGGAGGCAGCAGCAGCAGCAGGGGAGGCAGCAGCAGCAGCAGGGGAGGCAGCAGCAGCAGCAGCAGGGGAGGCAGCAGCAGCAGCAGGGGAGGCAGCAGCAGCAGCAGGAGGGGAGGGAGCAGCAGCAGGAGGGGAGGGAGCAGCAGCAGCAGGGGAGGCAGCAGCAGCAGGAGGGGAGGGAGCAGCAGCAGGAGGGGAGGCAGCAGCAGCAGCAGGGGAGGCAGCAGCAGCAGGAGGGGAGGCAGCAGCAGCAGCAGGGGAGGCAGCAGCAGGAGGGGAGGGAGCAGCAGCAGCAGGGGAGGCAGCAGCAGCAGCAGGGGAGGCAGCAGCAGCAGGAGGGGAGGCAGCAGCAGCAGCAGCAGCAGGGGAGGCAGCAGCAGCAGCAGCAGGGGAGGCAGCAGCAGCAGCAGGGGAGGCAGCAGCAGCAGGAGGGGAGGGAGCAGCAGCAGCAGGGGAGGCAGCAGCAGCAGTAGGGGAGGCAGCAGCAGCAGCAGCAGGGGAGGCAGCAGCAGCAGCAGGGGAAGCAGCAGCAGCAGCAGCAGCAGCAGGGGAGGCAGCAGCAGCAGGAGGGGAGGGAGCAGCAGCAGCAGGAGGGGAGGCAGCAGCAGCAGCAGCAGGGGAGGCAGCAGCAGCAGCAGCAGAGGAGGCAGCAGCAGCAGGAGGGGAGGCAGCAGCAGCAGCAGGGGAGGCAGCAGCAGCAGGAGGGGAGGGAGCAGCAGGAGGGGAGGCAGCAGCAGCAGCAGGGGAGGGCAGCAGCAGCAGGAGGGGAGGCAGCAGCAGGAGGGGAGGCAGCAGCAGCAGGGGAGGCAGCAGCAGCAGGGGAGGCAGCAGCAGCAGGGGAGGCAGCAGCAGCAGGGGGGGCAGCAGCAGGAGGGGAGGCAGCAGCAGCAGGGGAGGCAGCAGCAGCAGGAGGGGAGGCAGCAGCAGCAGGGGAGGCAGCAGCAGGAGGGGAGGCAGCAGCAGCAGGGGAGGCAGTAGCAGCAGGAGGAGGGGAGGCAGCAGCAGCAGGGGAGGCAGCAGCAGCAGCAGGGGAGGCAGCAGCAGCAGCAGGGGAGGCAGCAGCTGCAGGGGAGGCAGCAGCAGCAGCAGGGGAGGCAGCAGCTGCAGGGGAGGCAGCAGCAGCAGCAGGGGAGGCAGCAGCAGGAGGAGAGGCAGCAGCAGCAGGGGAGGCAGCAGCAGCAGCAGGGGAGGCAGCAGCAGCAGGAGGGGAGGCAGAAGCAGGAGGGGAGGCAGCAGCAGCAGGGGAGGCAGCAGCAGCAGGAGGGGAGGCAGCAGCAGCAGGGGAGGCAGCAGCAGCAGCTGCAGGGGAGGCAGCAGCAGCAGGAGGGGAGGCAGCAACAGCAGCAGCAGGGGAGGCAGCAGCAGCAGCAGGGGAGGCAGCAGCAGCAGCAGGGGAGGCAGCAGCAGCAGGGGAGGCAGCAACAGCAGCAGCAGGGGAGGCAGCAGCAGCAGGGGAGGCAGCAGCAGCAGCAGCAGGGGAGGCAGCAGCAGCAGGGGAGGCAGCAGCAGCAGCAGGGGAGGCAGCAGCAGCAGGAGGGGAGGCAGCAGCAGCAGCTGCTTGCCAGCAGGTGGCGCTGCAGCAGCGTGCGAGAGAGACGTGAAGATGGATTATTGCCCGCTCATGTATATTTATTATATTCTCCGCAACGCCGAATAATTGACTGCTGATGAGACGCCGCATGTTGAAACCGGTCCAAAGTTTGCTGCTGTTGCACAATGCTGTATTATGTTGAACTTTTTTCTCACCGTACATAGACAACTATGCTAATCGAAGATGACTGCAGCGGTAGCACACAAAAAGCAATTCTACACAAATTAGTTTTGAATCTAGATGCTTTAAAAGGCCGCATAAGTGCATCTGAAAGCACGCGATTGTTCGACGGTTCGCTGAAAGCCCCTGCGATAATGACCAGAGTTTGCATGATGGTTTATGCTCCTTAACGAGATCCGCAAGGTATTGTGGTTCATTTGTGTTTTGTCGCTGTGGTTGTCCCCACCTGGTGACGGACGCTTGTGTTGCGCCCAAAACGTCGTGATGTTTATTTTATTTTCACCTACGTGACTTTACCGAAAGAACCAAAGAGTATGGATCCTTACAGTCACGAACACTTCTAATCTAAAATTAGCTACTACTGGCCAAGACTAATTAGATAATCTATCGAAATTGAAAGAAATAAAAATAATTTTAACCATTTGGATAGCTACCGCCGTGGAAGTGAATAATACAAAAAAAATACATTGTTTAAATGCATCCCTATACAGGGCACCATACTTCAATAGGGATTACCGTTGGTACAGCTATTTTAATACACATGAAGTATTTGAATTGACGGCAGGAACTTCTTGACGGGTAACACACTTTTATTAAATCTTGACGTGTCACAATACAACGGGTGGTCTCTATCCTTTGGACTATACACTCCACTTAACTCGTGTAGACTCTATGCTTCTGGCTACACACAATACACTTGACTCGTGTAGACCCTATGCCTCTGGCTACACACAATACACTTGACTCGTGTAGACCCTATGCCTCTGGCTACACACAATGCATTCGGCTCGTGTAGACTCTATGCCTATGGCTACTCGCCTCTGGGTTACACAGAGTCCCGGTCCCGTTAGGACAGCGGGACTAGGTACCGCAGGGCCCTATGTCTTCATCCCCGTCTTCATTCTTCGCTGGTTACATACTGCCCTTACGCCTGTGTGCATCCCCTTTTATAGCCCCTGCTCACGAGAGACGGAGCTGATGCGGACGTCGACGTGAGCATCGCTCCTTAGTGAACCAATCACGACGCACTCTCTCTACGATCCGTTTTCCCCAGCGCGTGTTAACACTACTCCACCAATCACACCGCGCTGCCACCCGGTCACTCCCTCTCAGCGCGTCACCGGCCCACAGCCAATCAGTACCCCGTAACCCACGACCCCGCGCTGACCCCTGATCCTCCACCGTCAGCGCGCATCACCACATACACAGCCAATCATTACGCGCTGGCATACGATCCCTAATCCCAGCGCGTATCACCACTACATCACCCCCTCCCACATAGCTTGCAGCCGGCCCGGCTGTTAACCAACAACACAACCCAACGTTAACGCAATAATAAAAAAAAAGAACCCCATCCCCCCCCAGTGTGCCCCGTAACGCAACAACATCAACACTCAATTAAGAAGCAATATACAGCCCGACGAACAACACAATAAAAGCGAACACCAGAAAACGAACGCGCCAAGTGTCTCTGTGACTAAACGCAGTGACGAGGCGCTCCGGCTGCCTCGACTCTTCACGTGGTAGGTCATAAAAAGTAGCGCGACCTAGCGCGAGTCCGTCTGGCCGGTCCGTCGTATGGGACGAGACGCTGGCGACCGTCCGGTGGCTCCGGCAGCTCTAGATGGCGCGGATCGGGCCTGGAAGGACCGGCCCCGCCGCGAAGATCCGGCCGCCGGTGGTCGGCAGCTGTCAGTTCCGAGACACCTGGGAGCGGATCAGGCGGAGACATGTGAGGATCAGGCAAAGACATTTCCCCCTTTAGGGTCGTCGGTCACGTCACATGCTCGGCCCTCACGACACAAGGGGAGGCCATATGGAGGCGAGAACGG